CCAAAAGCCTAGGAAATAAAAGTCTGTTGGTTGCGGCTAAGTCCGATCTGCCATCAGAAAATATTTCTTAGGTTTTTTCCTCAAAAACCCGCCGAGCCGAGCCGAAGCTCTGTCCGAATTACGCCGAAAAAATGGCCGATTGGTGGCAAGGAGAAGGAGTTTTCGTCGATGAATTTCAAGCGGTATGTACTCATCATTCTGGTTTAACTTTTATTGTTGTTATAAGTTTTTTAATTAATCTATGTACTAACCTAGTTATTTTATCGTAGGTTGGGGAGGGCGTCGATATATACAACCAAAGGTATTATCTCGAGCAAGGACCGGTGGATCCAACCGACTTGTACGACCAAGCCAATCATCGGTCAAGGGATGTTTGGAACGATCACCCGGTACATACAATTCTTCACCATTTGTCCTTCTTTTATTTTGTTAATGTGCCTAGTGTAATATAAAATAAATTTATGTTTATTTTTTAATCGTGTTGGTGGTTTTCAATAATTTAATCGAATACATAGCGTCACTTACTTCGACTCTTTATAAAGAGATGCACGTCTAAGGAAATGGGGTTTTAAGCGATTATCATATCCTCCCATTACCTGGGAAAATCGGGTATTAAGAGATCCTCGGATCCCCCCTTTTTCTGTCAAAAAGACTGCGTTTCTAAGAAGATGTATACCTCTTCTAAGAGTCTAACGAGTGTTGCTTTGTATTCGATTAAATTATTTAAAACCACCAACACGATTAAATTATTTACCAAACATTTGAATATGTATGTTTCTACTTAAATTATTATTCATTAACAATGTTATTTATGTTAATTAATTAAATATGTTTGTTTTACGATAATATGTATGTACCTCTTTAAATTATTATTCATTGACAATGTTTTATGATAATATGAAATGTCCTTTTATGATAATAAAATTATGTTTTATGTTGCATAATTTAATTAAATTAATTTAGTTATACGAAAAAACACCCTTACTAATAATAATTAACGTGTAAAATTTTCCTAGGAGTCACAAACAATAATCCGCTACAGGGGTACCACAAATGTGCTCCCATTCCACCCCGCTATCTTGCCATTTCTCAAAAGGGCACGGTTAGACTCGATTAGGCATTTTAACGGCATCCAAATCGATCGTCAACTCATCACCGCATTGGCCGAGAGATGGAGAAAGGAGACCCATTGTTTCAACCTTAGAGAAGGGGAGGCCACCATCACGCTAAAGGATGTCGCCATCCTAACCCATCTGCCCATCGACGGCAAACCAGTGTGCGTGAGTGATCATCCCCCCGAGGATTGTGACGGTATGCCCGGTTGGCAGCATTTCATCCACGAGCATTTGGGAGTGAAAGTACCGGTGAAGGGGCACGTTGATGCGACCGATCGCATGCCACCATTGAGGAAACACCAAGTCTCAATTACTTGGTTGACGAAGTATTTTAGAGATCATTACGAGAGTCATCCGCTTACGGAGGAAAGTCCGGAGGATGAGAAGGAGAGATATGCTCGTGTCTATCTCATAGGCATGATCGGAGGAGTGTTCTTCTCCAAGAAAGCAAGCAATCTCCTTAGTTGTGGATGGCTTAGGATCATCTTCAGTAGTTGGGAGGAGATGGGGGAGTATAGTTGGGCATCTGCATGCCTAGCTATCATCTACAACAACTTGTGCAATGCGGCGAACAAAGCCGTGAGGGAGGTTGGCGGCGCAATGTTCATCGTCCAATTTTGGGCTTGGGAGCATATGCCATGGCTTGCACCGGCCCAACGTCCAGACAGGGATTGGCCAATCGATCATCCCCTAAGAGGTGAAGCTTATGGAGCAAGGTAAACTTCTCATACCCCCATCATGTAGTCATAACACATTTTGTCTTGTGTTTTATCTTATTGTAGTTTCATTCTTGTCATATTAATAAGGTGGCTTGGACACACAACATGCGACAACCTTGCCCAACACAAGTTGGAGGAGTATCGGAGGAGGTTTGAGCGACTTTGGGAAGGAGAGGTAACTTCTATACCGCGATTCATTTATATTTGTGTTTTCATGGGACTACATGTATATTTCTAATTATTTAATCTTACGTTACTCATTTCTATCTTATAGATCGTCTTCGATCCATACCCGGAGAACATCGTTCAATGGCATCTCCAGCAATTCCCCGGTCATATCGGGCAATGGTGCACGAGGGTTCCTCTAATTTGTTTTGGGACCGTGGAGTGGCACTTGCCGGATCGATGCCTCCGTCAGTTTGGTCGGGAGCAGTGCATTCCGTTTGAGGTCCCCGCAAGTCAAAGGGCCTTCCATGGCCGAGATGGTCGGCAAGGTACTCGCGATTGGCCGACGAAGTTGCAGGAATTCTCTTCGTCTTGGTATCGAGGGGAGAACACAGTCCCAGGGTTAGACGCCTCCAATGCCAGTATTAGTCTGGGAAGGAATGCATACGATTCTTCCCAATCACCATAGACGGCGGCCATAGCTTTCTGCTTTCCATGCCACGCCTTCTTATAGTTAATCATATAACCAAAACGACTTGCAATGTCAGCGATTATGACTTTGATTTTCAGATCCGGTTCAGCCTCAATCAGATGCTTGATAGCCGCAGCAACCACCCTGGATTTCAACTGTCGATGGCCTTGGGAAGTTATGGATGACACACATGTGTGTGTGTTGACCGCACGGGATATGACCCAGTGGCCGTGTCTCTTGCTGTTGATGGCCCGAATCCTAACATTGCACCCCTCGTGATGATTACGGCATCTGACTATGAGCCTTTTGGTGTTGGAATGAGTTGTGTCCCATTCAAAATGCCGAGTCATTGCTTCAGTCTCAAGGGCGTGCCGCACATCCTTCTTCGAGCCAAATTGTTGGCCCTTCGTAAACCCAGTGAGTGGGCCCCATATTGGGACCTCTGGCGGCTCCATGTCGCTGTCGACCATCCAATTGTCGTCTGGAATGTGATTGTAGTAGGGGACTGGTACACGGTCAGGAGCCACATCACCATCATTATCCGAACCCGAATCTGGTGCTGAATCATCAGCACCTTCAAGAGGGTCTGAGCTGTCTGCACTGACGTTGTTTTCTCCTTCTTCATCAGAGGGGTCGCTGACTGGTCCTGGTGTGGCAGCATCCGTCTGATCCTGCTCATGAAAGGCACCTTCATCAGCTCCATAATGGTAGTTGTGAAAACTACCGCTGCCTGTCAGGAAGTTGTACTGGGCTTGGTTGGGGATGTCCGGTTGAACTTCTTCTTCATATGACGAGAACGATTGATGATGGCCTGCACCTTGCCCTCCATCTTGGTACTGAAAATAGGAATGAGGATCATGGTAACTTTGGTAGGGATGATCGTCATATAATTCACCTCCACCATGGATACCAGATGTTTGACCGTGTCCAGAATGACCTCCAACACTAACGGCTGGCTCGGTGTAAACGAACATCTCGGCTTTGTGCAATTTGTTGGACCTCAAGAATTCGAGCATGGAATCTACGTCATCTTGAGTGGTTATGGTATATTCCTCATGCCACAATGACCCAGTTGCTCTGTTTGGGTATCGGTACACCATACGATCTACCCTCCTCGTGCCATCCATGCAAGTAACGTCAGTGCATATTCGATGGAGGTCTTCAAGCTTCGGTCTGGTACCGACCGTTACTTTCTGAAAATTGCCACCGACGTAGGTGGCCCCCTTTCCGGTGTCTTCCGTGTAACCATTCCACCGTAAGCCAAGCAACAACTGACGGAATGCCATCTGCATACAAACAAACCATAGTTTTAGTTAATATCATAAAAATCACAAATCACAAATAACAATAAAAAGTAACACAAAATAAACTTACGAATTAATGTTAATGGCATAAAAAGTAACACAAATTAAAGTTACGAGTTCATGTTAATGGCATAAAAAGTAACACAAAATAAACTTACGAGATAATGTTAATGGCATAAAAAGTAACACAAAATAAACTTACGAGTTAATCTTAATGGCAAACACACTAAATAAATATAGATATACAACAGAAAAATGAAAGAGAATGTGAGGGAGAATGAGAGGTGTGAAGAGTCTGTTTTCCGGCAAGTCTTTATATAGGGGAAAAAATTGTGAAAACCGCACCTCTAGGGTGCGGTTTTAGTCTGCCATGCAACCTACGTCGATAATTCTCTGCATGTCTGTGATGGGTGTCGGGAAATAATTGACACGTAAACCGCACCTGGGGGGTGCGATCTACGTGGTGAAACCGCACCTTGCAGATGCGATTCATGTTTGGAGAAGTAAATCGCATGGCCGAGGTGCGATTTAGGTAGGTCAGGCCTAAATCGCACCTCGGCCATGCGTTTCATGTAGGCCAGACATGAAATCGCACGGGCAAGGTGCGATTTAGGCCCACCAAATCAGATCGCACTCTCAAGGTGCGATTTACGTGTAAAACGCACCTTGGGGATGCGGTTTATGTGTAAATCGCACCTGGAGGGTGCGGTCAATATAAAAGGGTGCTAGTTTTGTAAATATTTTTGGCAGGGTGCTATTTTTGTAATTTTTTTTTAAAGGGTGCTATTATTGGAAAAATCTCCTTGTTTTGCCTTGCATCCGGGGTTTAGTGTTCGATTTGTAGGTCGTCGTAACAATAGGGTAGCCCATTTGGTGGCTAGAAAGGCCCTTTCATTGTCTCCAACTGCGAGTCGTTTGTTTGATTTTCAGACCTGGCTGTTTTCCAGGGTGTAACTATCTTTTTGGTGATTCAATATATATGAATATCTTTTGTCAAAAAAAATATATATCAATTATCAAGTGCATGTGGCATTATTTATTTATTTGTTTATATGTCCGGTTTGAATTGGAATTCACCAATGATAAAAAAAATTTGATAGAGTAAAGTTTAGTGATTGTTCTGTTAACAATGAAAATTAAGTGACCGAGTTGTTGATGACCCAAAGTCAAGTGACCATTTATAACAATACCCCACTGGCGCGAGTCTGATAGTAAAAGAGGGAAACCATTTGTCTCGGCTTCACACTTCATAGAAAGGGAGTTAGGGTTTTTCCGGCGCGGCGGGGTTAGGGTTCTTCCGGCGGGACTCCATCACGTTTTCTCTCTGTATATTCTTCACTTGACAGAGTATGACTGCTGATAGGATCAGCAACCTTCCCGGCGATGTGATAGACCGCATTCTGAAGCTCTTACCCATAAAAGATGCAGCGAGAACCAGCCTCTTGTCAAGAAGCTGGAGGCATCGTCGGCGAAGTATTCCTCAGCTTGTGTTCGATGGTAATTTTGCTCCGCTCTCTAAGAAAGATGTTTACTTGCCGAATCTGACGAAGGTAATGGTGAACATTTACGAAGCCATGCTGGTTCATGATGGGCCGATAACCAAGTTTGAACTCGCAATTCCTGGATTTGAATGGTGTCCTCATGTTGATCTCTTGATGCTTTACCTTTCCTGCAAAGATGTTGAGGAACTTACCCTTTTCTTTTGGGGTCCTGGAAACCCGTACTCTAATTTGCATTCCTCTCTATTCTCTGCCTTCGATCTGAAGCGCCTGAAACTGCAGTATTGTAAATTTTGTCCACCATCTGGGTTCACGGGATTTAGTAAGCTTACCTTTCTCCAATTGGAAGACGTGAGTCTGCCCGAGGGCTTCTTTGAGAATTTCATTCCGAAGTTCCCGCTGCTGGAAGAGTTGAGAGTTACAGATTGCGACGATACAGAGCCTGTGTTTGAATCGCATTCTCTCAAAGTTCTTTTCTTCCGCTCTAGCTTTTATAAAATTTGCTTCAAGGATACCCCTGCTCTTTCGGTGTTATCAGTTCTAGATATAGGCGATTTGTTTTGTGGGGAAGGAGAACCCTCTGAGGATGATTATTTGGATATGGTCCCTTTCTTTGCATCTCTCCCTGCACTTCAGCAGTTGAATCTTGGCATTCAATTGCTACTAGTAAGTTAATTTGCTTCATTGCTTGTTCATAAGTTTCCTCCTAACCTAACTGGCTTCTCTAATAATTTCCATGCTGCTATCCCCAGTTGCTTGCTGCTGGTCGTATCCCCTACCGGCTGCCTACAGATCTTCACCACTTAGAAGTCCTGGAAATACCTCGTCTTCTTTTGGATAGGTTGCCACAGGCCCGGGTTCTTGTTTGTCTAATCATGAGTTCGCCCAACTTGCAAACACTCACCATTCAGGTTCGTTTTCTTAAGACCTTAAACGTCTCCTGTACGAATTACTACATATGGGGTATGACTGTTAAGTGTCAACTCGACAGCTTTAACTTGTTCCTTGATGATTGTTTTGTAGATTGATGATGATGGTGATCATCCGCCTTCAGAGGTTGTTGCTAGCCTACAACAGTTGTTGGAAGCAGACGACCAACCTGGAGTTTTTTGCCTTCAACATCTTGAAGAGTTCAACATTCAGGATGGTCGTGGTACGCAAGTCGAGCTGGACTTGGTGAGGTTTGTACTCGCCACTGCCCCGAAGCTTCGTAGGATCTCTATTAAGCCGCACGATGAGCTGTCTTCTGGAAAGGTTTTGAAATTCTTGAAGAATGCGGCATTATGTAAACGTATTTCCAGAGATGCTGAGCTTAGATATGTCTGTGATGATGCAGACGAGGATGAATATAGGGTTGAGGATGAGGGTGATAATTAGTAGCACTTCCTTTCACACTTGGGTTGTTGTGAGGGTGCTTGATCTAACTTCGTTCTAATGTAGAATGTTTGAAGTGTTATCGCTCTTGTTCAAAAACAGGCTGTTTTTAACTTCTAAGTTGTGACTAATTGCTAGCATTGTCCTGCCTCTTGGCTTCTTGGTCCTTCCATGATGAGCATGACTTATTGGAATAAAGAAACCAACATATTAACCGAACAGGCTAGAGAGTTCGTCTAACTGAGAAACTTACGCACAAGGTAAGGATCACCATCTAAAAAATGAAAGTACAAAGACAGTTTCGTAATAACATCTGTTCTGTGAAGGAAAGCAATTAACTGTTATAATAATCCTAATAATATCTAACTTGTACAACAAGTAATAGTAAAAAACCAAACCAATTAGGAATAGGAGTGCATGTGACAAGCAGTCTTCGTTTATCCTTTCACTCCGTCTCTTCTCCTTCGTCCTAAATTGATCAAGGAACTCTGCCTCTTGTGTTGATTCAGAAGCTATAGTTAAGAGCCACATGAAGCGGCTCCGCGAGCTGAATGCTGCTGATGGGATTAGCAGCCTTCCTGACGACGTGATAACGCGCATTCTGACGTTCCTACCCATAGTAGATGCAGCGAGAACGAGTCTCCTGTCAAGAAACTGGAGGCATCGTTGGAGAAGTATTCCTCAACTCATCTTCGATGTTAATTTCCCTGGGCCCGATTCGCGGAAAACTGAGCGCATTTACGAAGCTCTGCTGGGTCATGAGGGGCCAATAACCAAGCTTGAGCTCATACTTTATGATGTTTATCCCTTGATGCGTCACCTTTCAGGCAAAGGTATACAGGACCTTACCCTTCGCTTTGAAGACGACACCAGTGGGTACCCTCGGTATCAGTTGCATTCCTCCCTCTTCTCTGCAGCCTTTCCCCTGAAGCGCCTGACGCTCCAGTACTGCAAAGTTAGAGTGCCATCTTGCTTTGAGGGATTCAAGAACCTGACCCTTCTTGACATAGCTTTAGTTGATCTGCCGAATGATTTCTATGAGAATTTCCTTCCGCTCTGCCCGCTGCTCGAAGAGTTGAGGGTTTTCGATTGCACCGGTAAAGAGCATGTCTTCGTAGCGCCTTCTCTCAAGGTGCTTTCGTTTAACTCGACTTGTCAGAAAATTTGCTTCAAGCATACCCCACTTCTTTCAGTGGTATCAGTCCTAGACGACAGTGTTCCTCATGAACATGTTTTTGAGGAAGGCCCCTTTGTTAATGTCAATCTGGATATTGTCAGCTTGTTTGCATATCTCCCTGCACTCGAGCGCCTCGATCTTGGCAGTGACATGCTGCAGGTAAGTTCAATTTATTTCTAAATAGTTTGTTCAGTGGTTACCACTGGCTTCTGTACTCATTAATAACATGCTGCTAAAAATGTTTCCTTTTTCCCCAGTTCCTTGCTGATAATGGTCATGTCCCCTACCAGCTCCCTAAACCCGTCCATAACCTGAAATTCCTCAAAGTACCTCGCATCCTTTTGCATCGGTTGCCACAGGTTCGGGTTCTTGTGTGTCTGATCATGAGCGCGCCCAACTTGAAAAGACTCACCATTCAGGTGGGTTTATTTTTATTTTACCCCTTTCTGTTGTGAATTGCTAATTTCTCTCGTATGTATGATTAGTGGTTGTTGGGTGCTCACACTCTGTATCCTTAACTTGTCACTTGACGAATGATTTTGTAGCTCGGTGATGACAACGAGCATCCGCCTTCAGAGGTTGTGGCTAGTCTGCAGAAGCTGTTGAATGGAGAGGATCTCGACCCTGGAGTTTGTTGCCTTCACCACCTTGAAGAGTTCAACATTCAGGACAGTCGTGGTATGCAAGTCGAGCTGGACATGGTGAGGTTTGTACTAGCCACTGCTCCAAAACTTCGTAGGATCTCCATCAACCCTCAAGCTAAGTCAGATAGAGAGGGTATGCAGTTCTTGAAAGAGGTCACATTATGCAAGCGTATTTCCAGAGAAGCAGAGGTCGTATATCTCTGAACTAAACGTGAGGTTAACAAGAAGGCCGATCATGTCACCCGAATGATTACCACGACGCTTGGATAAGCATGAACTTATGATTGGAGAACACATGGGAGGAGATTTAACTAAGTTTAGCTTGTTTCCCAAGGGCTATGCTCTCCATTAGCTTGAAGAGAAGTTAAATAAGTAAGATTTTGTAGCCATTGAGTCAGAAGAGAAGTTGTCTAAGGTATAGAAGTTCTGGGATTTTTGGAAGAAAGAGATGACATTTTGTAAGTGTATTTCATAAGAAGCAGAGGTACTATGTCAAGTCACACTTACGTACCAGTAGTTTTAACACTCACTCTTTGGTTCTTCTTTGATTGTGCTTCTGCCCTTCATCTTCTATTTATCCTTTTTAATTGGCAAAATACACTTTCATAGCCAAATCTATTCGCGTTGTGACAAATATAGCCAGTTTTTGAAAAATACACTCGTATAGCCACTTTTGAAAACTTGACTGGCAAATTTAGCCAATTCCGTTACTAACCTAAACGGAAAGACAGACGGCGTCAGTAAGCCCTCCGTGGCGCTGAGGTGGATGCCACGCGGCCGCCACATCATCGCCAACTCGACATCATTTATCCACGTCATGTTTAACTTTTAGTTTTACTTTCTTTATTATTACCTTCTCTTCAACCGTCGACCGACCATTATCAATCCCCCATTCTAGGTTTTGCGGAGAAAACCCCCATCCCCGCCGCCGCTCTCTCTCGATCTCGATCTCTTACCCATCGCCGCCGCCGCTCTCTCTTACCCATCGTCGTCGCCTTCTCCCCCCATATTCCCCATCGCTTTCTCCTTCTCTCCTCCCCATCGCCTTCTCCTTCTCCTTCCGTCCTTCCCATTTCCTCACTTCTCCCTCTGTTTTCCAGTCGCCGATTTATCCAGTCGCGCCGAGGAATCATGTCGCGCAGGGTTGGGCGGAGAAACGTCGGGAGGGATTTGGGCGATTCTGGATCAACGAACATCAAAAGTGAAGGCGTTGGTGCTGTCATTTGCAAGTGCAAACTCCTTGCTTTGGTACAAACTTCTGGGACTGAGTTGAACCCAGGCAGACAGTTTTATGGTTGCCCTAATTGGATGGTAAGCAGATCGTTGTTTCTATGAACTTTTCCAATGCTATTGTATCTTAGGAACGTTAATTTTGCAGGATCCGAAATGTGGGTGCAATTTTTTTCGTTGGGTGGATTCAAGTTCTGATATATCAGAGGCACGAAATAATGATGTTGACGGTATGATGATGAAGATGGAAGAAAGCTTAAGGCTGGCCGAAACGAAGGCAGAGAGAATGAAGAAGGATAAGCTACTGCTGGAGGAGGAGTTATGCAATTGGATGAAAATCGAGAGAGGTCGAACAGCTGAATATCAGAATTTGTATACTGAATTGCGAGTGATTCGATATATGCTTAGTTTCTTCTTGGTTCTTAATGTCTTACTAATTGTATTTCTGTGGAAGCAGTAAATTTGTGAGAATGTATGTAATGTGCACTTTGAAATTTGAAGTTGGTATGAAATTGAAAGTTTGCAAAAGATAGCATGGACGAAGCATGGAACGATTGAATCTAACATTATCCTTCATAATCCTTGCAAAATCAGCCTGTTTCTACAACTTTCTGGAGCACACATTAACGAGCATGACAGTTAGTGCCTGATTACATTCTACATTTGAGTTGAACATCAACCTAAGATAGAGAGTTTCCTTCAGCTACACCTAGCAAACAAGCCTAAAACTTAACATAAATTGTCTTATCCGAATTACATGAGTCGACAAAGCTGCTTCTAAGCAAGGGTTGGATGCCCTGTACAAAATTTGGACTCATCTACAACTTAACTACACTTCTAAGGTTGGGTTGGTGGCGGCTGGCTCCCTGGCAGATCCATCTCAGTAGGCTGGGTTGGAGGTGGATTCCCAACAAATCTCCCATTTGCCCCATTCAGCTGCATCCAACAGAACATGTTAAATATCATATTAGTGATGACACATCTCTATAAGTGTAACTAAGAGAAGAAAGAAACCAATTACTCACCCTAACATATTGATTACCCGTGGTCTCATCAACATAAACACCAATTCCTCTTGTTGCTTGACGAAGCTCCCTTTCAATTGTAAAACGATCGCCAACATTCAACCTCACATCCTACATTTCATACAAACCAAAACAGTTAACCTAAGTTTGTTCTACACTGGTTAACCTAACATTCATCTACAATTTACACTAATGACTTACTTGTATTCCCACTCCCCTGTTCAACGGACAGGTTCTGGCATTGTGTGTGGCCGAGCCACACTTGGAGCAGTGGTTGCCTCTCCTCTGTCTTGGTTGACTCTCATTAGGTGGATCAGCAGCAGTGGTTGCCTCTCCTCTGGCAGCAGCTCCTCTTCCTCTTGTTGCAGCAGCTCTTCCTCTTGTGGCAGCAGCTCCACCCCTTGCAGCAGCTCTTCTTCTGGTGGCAGCAGCAGCAGCTCCACCCCTTCTAGCAGCTCCATTCCTTGTAGTCACTCCCTTCAAGAATACAATCATCGATTAAGTAACAATAAGTGACAATGTAATTTAAAGGGACATAAAGTGAAAATGTAGCTTACCACAGTTTGAGCAGCAACAGGTGATGGGCATGCCCTTGCATTATGCCCTTCAGCTCCACACTTGGAGCAATGAACCAAGCTACCCCTTTGAGTTACTTCCTCACCAACCCTCCTTTTTTGTGGTCTTGTTTCCCTCTCCCCAGCTGTCTTCCTTCTGTTCTTTTTGGGGCGGCCTGGCATTGGTCTGTCTTTAGGAGGGTATACTTCGTACCCACTGGATTCAGGCCATGCTTGTCTACCATCAAGACAAGGCAGCCCCACCTTATAGCACTCCTCCACATTCCGAACAAGGTAAGAAGGATGGACATAATCATCTGGATTCTTCCTCAAGTGGCTGATAGCAGAAATTGCATGACAGCATGGCAGCCCACTCAACTGCCAATAACCACAGCTACACTCCTTCAAAGTCAGGTCTACAATGTACCCTGAAGCCCCCATTTTCACTTCACATCTCATATTGTGAGATTGCCTAGATACACACAGCCTAGCAACCTCCTTCTCCTTCTCTAAACGTTTCCTAATTCTCGGACACAACTCATCAGTAGTCCCACGCAGCATATTATACTTGATCACCACTCTTTCCATCATATACCCCCTAATCCCTTCAAGCATCTCTATAATACGAAATCCTCTAAACTTCACAATACTGCCATTCCAAGTCTCACATATATTACTCTCGACACTATCACATTTAGGAATTGCAGACAAGAAAGCACGACAAAATTTGGTGGGATCGGCAGCCATAAAGTCAGTAAATGGCGTTGGTCCATCACCATTACCTTGGATACTCTCCATCTCTTGCGTAGCCTTCTTCCAATCAGATTCGTTGCATGCATACACTGCCTTCCAGAACAGTTTCCTAATCATGTCGGTCTTGTTCTTGACTTTCCAGTTGGCATACACATGCCTAGCACATTTTCGATGCTCCGCTTCAGGTAGTATTGAGTGGAGCGCTTCAACAAGACCCTAGTGGAGAGAAATAGGATTAGCAAATTAAACATGAGAATTAATCAAAGAACAATCAAAGAACAATCTTACTATACCTTCTGCTGGTCCGAGATAACAGTCCAGCCTCTACCATCAACTAAACCGAGTTCTTCGGTTAAAATATCTACGAACCAGCTCCAAGAGTTGGTATTTTCTCCTTCCACAACCGCCCAGGCAAGTGGAAACATCTGGTTGTTTCCATCTTTACCCACTGCTGTGAGGACCATCCCTTTTACTTCCCCTTTAAGAAAGCAGCCATCAAGACCAAACATCGGACGACAGCCCAAAAGGAATCCATCCTTCAAACATGAAAAACCAACATATAAGCGCTTGAATAAGCACTTATCCTCATCTGGATGCGGGTCAACTTCAAGCTGGAAACGACCATCCCTATCCCTCTTCTTCAACTCAGCTACATAACTCCTAATCAATTTATACTCATCACTCAACGACCCACTTAACATCTTGATAGCCTCTACTTTAGCTCTGTAGCAAGTTCTCTTCTTCACCTCCATATTGTGTTTTAACTTAACCTCAGCCATAATCTGTTCCGGAGCCCACTCTGGGTTAATTCTGAATCTCTCTAACATATCTGAGGCAATCCACTTAGCTGTTACTTGGTTAACTGAGAGACGCCTTGCACATGAGTGTGGTTGCCCCACTTTCCTTATCATGAAGCACTTATCCTTTCTGAACCAGCTTGCATACAACCTCCATTGACAATTCACATCTTTACAAATCACCTCTCTCCTCGTAGGGTTGCTCCGAATCCATCTCAGACAGGCACCATGTGCTACAGAATGTCTTACAACGCCATCTTTGAACTGCTCTACCCCGTCGAATTTCATTCTACACACAAACTCAAGTGTCTTATGGTCGCAGAGTGGATCATACCGTGGTGCATCATCATACAAATCTCCTTCCTCCTCATCTGATAAGTTGCCCCTTACATGATCTGATTCTTCTGACAATCTGTAGTTTGAATGCTGAGATCCTTCCCTATTAACATCAACTCGAGGTGGCTGAGATTGTTCAGGTAGCTGAGGTTCTTCAGGTGTCTCATTGTTCTGAAGGGGAGTGGAGTGGTGTGAATTCTCCCCATCATCTTGGCCTTCCTCCTCCCCATTTTCAGACTCAGATTCTTCAAAATCCAACAGTTGGTCTACTTCTTCTCCACCAGCAGCAACTCTTGCAATCACTCTCCTTTTCCTCCCTTCACCATATGCACGTAGGTTTGCTCTAGCCTCGTGATATTCATCATCTGATGTCATTGCGTCGTCGGAGTCATAAACATGACATATATCAGGAGCAACAGAAGCATCTCCAACATTGTGGCTGCTTAGTGAATCCTCATCATGACCACTCTGATTTGGGTCATTTTCGCCCACCAATTCATCCCACGAGT